TGCGGGCATCATCCTGGTATCATTTTTTTCGCGGGAAAATGGCTTTAGCCTAATAGCCTAAAAAATCAGAACTACGAGCATTTCATAAATTTCCCATTTTCGCAAGATATAAACACGCCTTTTGGGAAAATTTGGGGAAAAAGCAACTGAGCACAACCTGAACTTGGTTATGATTATAGATAATGTAAGGGCAGATTCGATATCTAGAGTCTGATGAGAACCCAAGATCTCCTCAAAAAAGAATATATGACAATGTCCATGAGAATAATGCGGGGGTATATTTGCATTCCCTGTGATAGTAGTAAAAGTGATAAAAAAAATTTTAAACGGGCAGTGTTAAAAATATAATAATTAAAAAAAATTCAAAATAACAATTAAAAAAAAAAAAAGTACCCTCGCCCCCCACCCCCCCCCCACTCCGAGCACACGTGTGGAACCTGCGTTCGGTAGAGGCTTTGACCCTGTTGCCAGTAATGGAAAACAGCAGTTGCAACCATGCATGTGAGGTGATCGCCAAAACAACACCACAAACACCACAACTAATAACATACAAACAAAACAAAAACAACAACAACAAACAAACAAAAACACCAACCAACCAGTACAAAGCACAAACAAACACAACACACACCGAACATCAAAACAAACACAAAAAAAAAACCACAACAACAACTCAAACACCAACCAACACATACACAAAAACACATGCACAATGACAAAAACCGCCAGCGAAAAGTCAGATCAAGGGCAGTAATTCTAACACTAGATCTCCATCTGTAAAAAATGGTAAGCTTGTAAATCGTTTGCCTAGGATATTAAAAAAACGTATGCAGTTAGTTTGCCATTGCACAGGGCATGCGCAGTTTCAAAGCATGTCATGTTTCGGCATCTAATTTACTTGGCAACCATCATCATTATATTTTTACCAAGTAATTGGCCAATATATTGGGTTTTGTGTTTTTCTGCATTAAAAAGTATAAAAAAAAAAAAGTGTAATTTTTTTTCTACTAATTGCATTTGAAAAATCGCTGCGATGAGTACTATGTACATAAAAAATTGCAGCACCCACATATTTTAATTCACTAGGGTGTTTGCTTTAAAAAAATATATAATGTTTGGGGTTTAAATTAATTTTTCTTGCAAAAAAATACAGATTTTTTTTCATGTGAACAAGAAGTGTCAGAAAAGGCTTGGTCTTTAGGTGGTTAGAAGAGTAAATTATGTGTGGCATAAATTTCTAATGCTCAGGGCCATAAAATGCCCCCACCCCCCAAAACGACCCCTTTTTGGAAAGAAAACACCCCAAACTATTTGAAGAGAGGCCATATTGAATCAACAGAAGAATTTATTTTTTTATTTTTTTTTTATTTTTAGTTTTTGGAAAAGTTTTTTTTTGGAATTTTTTACAAAATTGTCACTTAAATGATTTATTGCTCACACACATGCCATGGGGTATATGTGGAATTACTACTCCCCAAAATATATTCTGCTACTTCTCCCGAGTTTGGGGGTACCACATGTGAGAGACGTTTTGGCAGTCTAGCCAAGTACAGGACTCCAAAATCCAATAACCACCATCAGGCTTTTAAAGGGCTTTATTTCCTCATTACACTTCCTGACTACCTATCACAGTTTCGGAGGCCCTGAAATGCCAAGATAGCACCAAACCCCCCAAATGACCACTTTTTTGGAAAGTAGACACCCCAAGGAATTTGATAAGAAGCATGGTGAGTATTTTGCAGATCTCGTTTGTTGCCAGAAGTTTTTGGAAAATGAAGAAAAAAAACAAAAACATATTTTTTCTATTTTTTTTTTTTTTTTCAAAACCTTGTGAAAAAAAAATGAGATCTGCAAAACACTCCACAATCAGAGGGCGGACTGACAACTCATGTGGCCCCCGGGCAATAGGGGATCATGGGCCCCTGTGTCCTTGCCCAAACTCAAAAAAGCCTATGAAAAAGGTACCAGGGGCATCTCATGGGGCCCCCTACTGACCCCGGCCCTCGGGCAGTGCCCGAGTTTCCAAATGGTCAGTCCCCCACCCCTGCTCACCATGCCTCTTTTTAAATTCCTTGGGGTGTCTACTTTCCAAAAAGGGGTCATTTGGGGAGGGGGGTTTTGGTGCTATCCGGGCACTTCGAAACTGTGATAGGTAGTGAGGAAGTGAAATGAGGAAGTTACGCACCTTCAGGCTTTCAAAGTGGTCATTGGATTTCAGGCTCCTGTATGTGGCTAGGCTCACCAAAAAGTCTCACACACGTGGTAACCCCATACTCGGAAGAAGTAGCAGAATGTATTTTAGGGTGTAATTCCACATATACCCATGGGTGTGTGTGAGAAAATACAGGTGAAACTCGAAAATTAGAATATCGTGCAAAAGTTTCATTTATTTCAGTAATGCAACTTAAAAGGTGAACCTAATAAATGAGATAGACTCATTACATGCAAAGATAGTTTGCAAGATAGTTCAAGCCGTGATTTGTCATAATTGTGATGATTATGGCTTACAGCTCATAAAAACCCCAAATCCACAATCTCAGAAAATTAGAATATTACATGCAATCAATACAACAAGGATTGGACATAGAACAATATCAGACCTCTGAAAAGTAGAAGCATGCATATGTACTCAGTACTTGGTTTGGGCCCCTTTTGCAGCAATTACTGCCTCAATGCGGCGTGGCATGGAAGCTATCAGCCTGTGGTAATGCTGAGGTGTTATGGAAGACCAGGATGCTTCAATAGCGGCCTTCAGCTCTTCTGCAATTGTTCGGTCTCATGTCTCTCATCTTTTCTCTTGGCAATGCCCTATAGAATTCTCTATGGCAGTGATGGCGAACCCGTGGCACGCGTGCCACAGCCGGCACCCGAGCCTTATCTGTGGGCACGCCAGGAGAATCCAGCGGCGCGCTGTCTTCCCGGCTGTAGTGTGCGTGACAGCCGGGTCCCAAGTGCGCATGCACAAGAAACAGTGCTGTTTGTGAATGGTAAGGCGGTACCATGGGACACATGACAGATCCCAGAAGCCGCCGGACCAATCACAAAGCGCAGCGCTCTCTCGCGCATGCGCACTGGGCATCCGGCTGTCCAACGAGCGCCCACACTACAGAAGCCGGAAAGACAGCGCGCGGCTGGATCGAGGAACAGGTAAGATAAAAAAAAAAAACTCTGCGGAAGTAAGAGCGGGTACCTGTCAAATTCAGGTACCCGCTCCCCCTCCCTCCCCAAAGGTCCTGCTGTCCGCAGTCTCTGGTCATCTCCTGTGCTGTCCGCAGTCTCTGGTCATCTCCCTGTGCTGTCCGCAGTCTCTGGTCATCTCCTGTGCTGTCCGCAGTCTCTGGTCATCTCCTGTGCTGTCCGCAGTCTCTGGTCATCTCCTGTGCTGTCCGCAGTCTCTGGTCATCTCCTGTGCTGTCCGCAGTCTCTGGTCATCCCTGTGCTGTCCGCAGTCTCTGGTCATCTCCTGTGCTGTCCGCAGTCTCTGGTCATCCCTGTGCTGTCCGCAGTCTCTGGTCATCTCCCTGTGCTGTCCGCAGTCTCTGGTCATCCCTGTGCTGTCCGCAGTCTCTGGTCATCCCTGTGCTGTCCGCAGTCTCTGGTCATCTGTCCCCTGTGCTGTCCGCAGTCTCTGGTCATCCCTGTGCTGTCCGCAGTCTCTGGTCCCCTGTACTGTCCGCAGTCTCTGGTCATCCCTGTACTGTCCGCAGTCTCTGGTCATCCCTGTGCTGTCCGCAGTCTCTGGTCATCCCTGTGTACTGTGTCCGCAGTCTCTGGTCATCCCTGTACTGTGTCCCGCAGTCTCTGGTCATCCCTGTACTGTCCGCAGTCTCTGGTCATCCCTGTACTGTCCGCAGTCTCTGGTCATCCCTGTACTGTCCGCAGTCTCTGGTCATCCCTGTACTGTGTCCGCAGTCTCTGGTCATCTCCTGTACTGTCCGCAGTCTCTGGTCATCTCCCTGTACTGTGTCCGCAGTCTCTGGTCATCCCTGTACTGTGTCCGCAGTCTCTGGTCATCTCCTGTACTGTCCGCAGTCTCTGGTCAGTCCCTGTACTGCTGTCCGCAGTCTCTGGTCATCCCTGTACTGTCCGCAGTCTCTGGTCATCCCTGTACTGTCCGCAGTCTCTGGTCATCCCTGTACTGTCCGCAGTCTCTGGTCATCCCTGTACTCCGCAGTCTCTGGTCATCCCTGTACTGTGTCCGCAGTCTCTGGTCATCCCTGTACTGTGTCCGCAGTCTCTGGTCATCCCTGTACTGTGTCCGCAGTCTCTGGTCATCCCTGTACTGTCCGCAGTCTCTGGTCATCCCTGTACTGTGTCCGCAGTCTCTGGTCATCCCCTGTACTGTGTCCGCAGTCTCTGGTCATCTCCCTGTACTGTGTCCGCAGTCTCTGGTCATCCCTGTACTGTGTCCGCAGTCTCTCTGGTGGTCATCCCTGTACTGTGTCCGCAGTCTCTGGTCATCCCTGTACTGTGTCCGCAGTCTCTGGTCATCCCTGTACTGTGTCCGCAGTCTCTGGTCATCTCCCTGTACTGTGTCCGCAGTCTCTGGTCATCCCTGTACTGTGTCCGCAGTCTCTGGTCATCTCCTGTACTGTCCGCAGTCTCTGGTCATCCCTGTACTGTGTCCGCAGTCTCTGGTCATCTCCTGTACTGTCCGCAGTCTCTGGTCATCTGTACTGTCCGCAGTCTCTGGTCATCCCTGTACTGTGTCCGCAGTCTCTGGTCATCCCTGTACTGTCCGCAGTCTCTGGTCATCCCTGTACTGTGTCCGCAGTCTCTGGTCATCCCTGTACTGTGTCCGCAGTCTCTGGTCATCCCTGTACTGTGTCCGCAGTCTCTGGTCATCTCCTGTACTGTGTCCGCAGTCTCTGGTCATCCCCTGTACTGTGTCCGCAGTCTCTGGTCATCCCTGTACTGTGTCCGCAGTCTCTGGTCATCCCCTGTACTGTGTCCGCAGTCTCTGGTCATCTCCTGTACTGTCCGCAGTCTCTGGTCATCATCCTGTACTGTGTCCGCAGTCTCTGGTCATCCCTGTACTGTGTCCGCAGTCTCTGGTCATCTCCTGTACTGTGTCCGCAGTCTCTGGTCATCCCTGTACTGTGTCCGCAGTCTCTGGTCATCCCTGTACTGTGTCCGCAGTCTCTGGTCATCTCCCTGTACTGTCCGCAGTCTCTGGTCATCCCCTGTACTGTGTCCGCAGTCTCTGGTCATCCCTGTACTGTGTCCGCAGTCTCTGGTCATCCCTGTACTGTCCGCAGTCTCTGGTCATCCCTGTACTGTGTCCGCAGTCTCTGGTCATCTCCTGTACTGTGTCCGCAGTCTCTGGTCATCTCCCTGTACTGTGTCCGCAGTCTCTGGTCATCCCTGTACTGTGTCCGCAGTCTGGTCATCCCTGTACTGTGTCCGCAGTCTCTGGTCATCCCTGTACTGTGTCCGCAGTCTCTGGTCATCCCTGTACTGTGTCCGCAGTCTCTGGTCATCCTGTACTGTGTCCGCAGTCTCTGGTCATCCCTGTACTGTGTCCGCAGTCTCTGGTCATCCCTGTACTGTGTCCGCAGTCTCTGGTCATCATCCCCTGTAACTGTGTCCGCAGTCTCTGGTCATCCCTGTACTGTGTCCGCAGTCTCTGGTCATCCCTGTACTGTGTCCGCAGTCTCTGGTCATCCCTGTACTGTGTCCGCAGTCTCTGGTCATCCCTGTACTACTGTGTCCGCAGTCTCTGGTCATCTCCTGTACTGTGTCCGCAGTCTCTGGTCATCTCCTGTACTGTGTCCGCAGTCTCTGGTCATCTCCCTGTACTGTGTCCGCAGTCTCTGGTCATCCCTGTACTGTGTCCGCAGTCTCTGGTCATCCCTGTACTGTCCGCGCAGTCTCTGGTCATCCCTGTACTGTCCGCTCTGGTCTCTGGTCATCCCTGTACTGTGTCCGCAGTCTCTGGTCATACCCTGTACTGTGTCCGCAGTCTCTGGTCATCCCTGTACTGTGTCCGCAGTCTCTGGTCATCCCCTGTACTGTCCGCAGTCTCTGGTCATCCCTGTACTGTGTCCGCAGTCTCTGGTCATCATCCCTGTACTGTGTCCGCAGTCTCTGGTCATCCCTGTACTGTGTCCGCAGTCTCTGGTCATCCCTGTACTGTGTCCGCAGTCTCTGGTCATCTCCTGTACTGTTCCGCAGTCTCTGGTCATCTCCTGTACTGTCCGCAGTCTCTGGTCATCTCCTGTACTGTCCGCAGTCTCTGGTCATCCCTGTACTGTGTCCGCAGTCTCTGGTCATCCCTGTACTGCGTCCGCAGTCTCTGGTCATCCCTGTACTGTGTCCGCAGTCTCTGGTCATCCCTGTACTGTTAATTAGTTTGCACTACTGTACGAGTTGTTTTTTCTAAACCAAAAGCTCGATATTCAGTTTCATTGCAGTGTTGGCACTTTGAAAGAAATAAGTTGGTTTTGGGTTGCAGTTTGGGCACTCGGGCTCAAAAAGGTTCGCCATCACTGCTATAGAGGGTATTACCCTGTAAGTGCCCAACCTGTGGTGTGATGTTATACCTAGTCATCCATCTTCGAATCAGTCCCCTAAATTCTTCCTGGCAGCAGAACAAGGTAAGTGGGGGGGGGGTGCTCTGTGATGTAAAGGATGAGGGACATGTGAGACTTCTGATGGTGGAGTAGGGCGCTCTGGACATCTGCTTATAATTTATTATGGCATAAAACAATTCTATGATAGAGGAAAAGGAGGTTCACCCACTGCTGGTATAATCCACAAGAAATTTTATTAAAGCCTGCTCAGACAGAACACCACAGCAGAATCATGTTCTGTCAGAGCAGTCTCCAATAAAGTTTCTTGTGGATAATACCAGCAGTGTGCAACCCTCTTTTTCAGACTTGCATCATCTGCTACAGAAGTGTGAGTGGGCACCTTGCCAGTCTGCATCTTAAGTTATTACTAAAACCAGTAATAATAAAATGCAGAGGCAATTATTTAATACGAAAAAAAAGAGTAGATATATTTACATATTCTTACAGAAATAACTAGCATTTTGAGGGCAACCATAATGCTGATGCAGCCCAGAATGAAATTGAGTTTGACACCCTTGTTCTAGGACATCCACACAAAAGGAGCACAGAAGGTTATTGCTCAGTTAAATTATGATCCTGGAATACCGGATTGTGTTGATTGTTCATTGCCCTAGTCCAGTTAGCTGCAGCTTCACAGACAGCAATCATAGCAATAGCTGGTTGCAAACCTGGGCCTGCAAGTGTAAAGTGAGCCTTTAAGAGCATCTCAAACTTCCTATGTGCAGAATCACTGAATGAAAAAAAATATCTTCAGTTTCGTATAGTCAGATGTTTGTTTAGACAAGAGACGGCAGGGTCTGCTACAAGAACAGACCACTTTTTAGTGAACAGACATCGGCAATGATTTTCAGAGGGAGGAAAATCTTTTATGGATTGACCCACTGTCATAAATTGTCCATTCTGTTTGTTAATTAACAAGAAATGTATTTTTAGATTTAGCAGGTCTCTTTGTACACAAAGCGAATTGGTGAGATGGGGGAGATTCAAGTGCAACAATGTCAAAACTTTTGCGCACAGCAGAAATGAGCATATCCACAATGGCAAGCATGTTCAGTGAAGCCATAACATCAGATTCACAGCGAGGTAAGAAATCCTCTGTGGCCTCCTCTAACACCTCCATAAGGTTCTCTTCATTTCCGGCTATGCTTGTCTCTTTTAGGTTCGGCATATTAGGATCCGACTCTCCTGGCACTTTTCACTCCGGACAATAATGGCTCTATTAAAGCTACTAGTAGTCTGAGGAATTGTGACATGTGTGCCTTAGTCAGGCAGGCCACTTGTGTGCCTGAGACAGAGCTAGAGATGCAATGACCAGTATTTATATTGGGTCCTGCCCCGATGCAGTGGTTCCCTTTCACCTGACTTCTGCCATTGTCACTGTTAAGGATAATCCCCTGTAGGGCACTCACCAAGTAGGGTGCAGAAATAGGGTAAGCAAGTCAGAGAAGGAGTACACAGCAACCAGGGTGAAGACTGTATGGTATTGAAGTCTTTGTGGCAAAAGGGCGAGAAGTAGCACAAGTGTCAGAAAAGTGTGCACCCAGAGGTGTTAAGTAATAACTGGTCATCCCACCCAAGACTAAGCTAAGTGTACTTCAAAATTAAACAACACTCCACTCCCTACTCGACACATAAAACCAAATATAACTCAAGTAAAAAACAGGAATAAAAATTAAAAAAAAAAAAGTATAAATATAAATTTATATAAATGCTATAAATAACTACCCCTAAGCAATAACAAATTAAAGCTCAATTGACCCTATACAGTATACTGCCCAGCAAAACATCCTATTAGCATATGCAATGTGTAAAGAAATTACCCACACTAATTATTACAACCATACAAGATTTATATACCGACAACAGTTTGTGCAGTGCTTTACAATCTAAAGTGAGACAGTACAGTTACAATACAATAAAATACAAGAGAGTTAAAGTGGTTGTAAAGGCTCAATGTTTTTTAATCTGCATGTAGTCTATGAATGAAGATAAAAAAAAAAAACCTTCTGTGTGCAGTAGCCCCCCCAGCCCCCCTAATACTTACCTGAGCACTATCACGATCCAGCAATCTGCACATGAGCCTTGGCTCTCCAGGGACGCTACCATTTAGCCATTAGCTACCGCTGCTGTCAATCACAGCCAGTGAGCCAATGAGGAGGGAGAGGGGGCATGTCCAAGTCACAGCTCTGTGTGTGAATGGACACTTAGAGAAGCGGCTCAATTGACCCTATATAAACATTCCGTTAGTTTGTGCAAAATCTAAAAAAAATAACCACACTAATTAATATTATTATACAGGACTTATTTACCGCTAACAGTTTGCACAGTGCTTTACAATATAAAGGTAGGCAGCACAGTACAACATAAGAGGGTTAAAGTGGTTGCAAAGGTTCAAAGTTTTTTACCTTCATGCATTCTATGCATGAAGATAAAATCCTTCTGCGTGCAACAGCACCCCTAATACTACTGAGCACCATCATCATCCAGCAATGTGCTGGAGTGCCTCGGCTCTCTGGGGACTCTCCCTACTCTTGGTTGAGACAGTAGCGAGAGCCATTGGCTCGTGAAAAATGTATTAGAACCTCCCATTAGGAACCAAAATATGAGTTTCTTTCAAGGCATAGGATTTTATGCCTGTGGTAGATGTTACAGCTGTAGCAGAGTAACACACAATCCTAGACGTAGGTTTACTTTTAATAACACTAACAATGGAACAGAGTATAAAATTCGACAATTTATCTCCCGTGACACTAAAGGGGTAATTTATGCCTTGAAATGTCCATGTAATTTAATATACATAGGACGGACTAAGATTATTAAAGGAACGTATAAAGGAACATGTATACATCAATAGAGGCTATAAACACCACCATGTATCACAACATTTCAGACAATACCACAATAAAGATGCCAGATTATTAGAATTTTGGGGTATAGAAAAACATACCCATCACTGGAGGGGTGATAATTTAATCAAGAGAAATAAGTAAAAAGGAATCTAAGTGGATTCATGAAATGGGCTGTCTAGCCCCGAATGGTTTGAATAAAGAATTTGATTTGACATGCTTCATTAGTAATTATTATCAGGTTGGGATAGTTCATATACTCATTTAAATTTAAAAAAAAACTATTTGTTATCCATTTTTATATATATTTTTATTTATATTTTTATTTAAATTATCATATTTATATATATACACAGTTGTGTTATGCATATACATCATTTTAGATTAGCATCATTTGCCGTATTTTAATATAATCCTGGTTTTAAATACATTTTTCTTAAGAGGTAGTAGATAATAGGATCCGCCACTAGGAGATTTGAGGGAATCCATATACCATTCATTTAGATTGCAGATTATAGAAAGAGATTACTATAGTTAGAGACAATAGACATCTACACATTTTAGAATAAAATTAATTTAGATTTATGCAGTCCCGTGATTTAATAATTAATCTGCTTACCAACGTCTGACAACAGAGGAATAAACACTAATCATTAACAGATTCATTTGTTAGAGCCTGGGTGAAGTATCATACAATAGTCCCCAAGAAAATGGCCGCGCGCATGCGGACTTCAATAAAATGGGGGCCGTCATATATATATATATATATATATATATATATATATATATATATATATACACACACATATACACATATACACACACACAGATATGAGAGCTGTGATGTCCAATCGTATCCCCCTGATGAAGTCACATGACCAGGTTGTCTTGGATAAGCACGGCGAATATAGCAGAGACTGCAGGCCATGCTGTCACTATTTTAGCTTACTGCATACTTAAACAATGTGAGTGGTATATCCATCAGCAATAAAATACATCTTTTAAAAAGGATAAGGCACCATGGTTTCTTTTTCTCTTATGTAATCCATCCGTGACATGCTGGAGAGAGATTGATACAGGAGGAAGGAGACCCCTGGAGGGGAAAAAGGGGGATATCCATCCATCCCTTTCAAGCATTAGTTACATTTACTGCAGAGACCCCAGGTGGAATAAGATCCAATTACAACTATCCATTTGTCATTCGGAAAACCTCACACAGGAAGATTATTTCATCAGTTCTATAAAGGACAAAAAGCTAGTTTTGCCTATATAGTTAGGCAAAACATAAGGTGAGCGCATACGAAGATCACACTGCACTTGGATTGTGGGAGTATTATTTCACCATTGTAATTCACATTGGAAGAGGACTGTTTATGTGCATGTATATATTGACTTTTGCTCACCATTAGATTTCACAAATAATAACAGTCATGTATTATTCTTCTTATATGTTGTCATAGGCAATAGACAATCAATTCCTGCATCATATATAACTTACTTATTCATTTATTTTTTATTTTATATCTCTATCCATTCATTAATTGATCTGGAAATAATAGCATTAGTCATTACAGATAATTTATATAGGAGCGCGGCACTATTAGTATATTTATCTTTA